TCATCCTCCGAAACAAGAGGTCCCAGCTTCCGACACATGCCCAATCAACGTTTGGCCTTGACATGCGGTTTTGGACTGTGGCATGCAGCTCAGAGGGGCGCTAGACATTTTGGCTCTCGCAGCAGTTTTTTGGTCGGCTTCCCCGGATCAACGCTGGACTCTGAACTTGGTACTGGGGGAGAGGGCATCCAGCGCGAGCCTTTGCATGCGTACCAGAGTTTGGCCATATCTGATGACTATCCCCTAACACAAGCAAACAGGCATCCAGATGCACTCTCTCACATAATATGTACGTATATATATATATATACGGTACGCCCCCCCCCCTTTTCAGGCACTCCAATTTTGACCCTCTAACTCATTTCCCATCTTCAAATTCCAAGATTCTCCAGGCCTCTCTGGCTTGCCCGCTTCCCAGGTCTCTGCATCTGGAGCCCCCCCCAAAAAGAACGCATTTTATAGCTCTTTAAAGCGCTTTAAAGCACTTGTGGATTCAAGATTCAAGATGTCCAGGCCTCTAGATCTGGAGTCTTGAATCCATTTCCCTCTCCCCCAACACGTTTTTTTGGCTCTTTCAAGCGCTCTAAAGCGCTTTTGGATTGAACATCTCCAGATTCCCAGGAGACTACACCTGGAATCTTGAATCCAGTCTGGCCCCCCCCCAAAACGCTTCAAAGCGCTTTAAAGCACTTTTGGATTCAAAATTCTAGGTTCAAGATGCCTTGAATCCAGTCCGGCCCCCAAAATGCTTTAAAGCGCTTTAAAGAGTTTTCATCCAGGTGGCTTGTGGATTCAAGATTCCAGGTCTTGAGTCTGAATCTTGAATCCAAAAGTGCTTTGAAGCTTTAAAACTTCTGATTTCATCCATTCCTGTTTGGGTGTGCGCCTTACTATCCTTTTCGACTTGTGCGCGGAAACTACAGCTGATAGTTCAGCATTGGGACATTGAATATGTTCTTTAGCGACTCAAACAACTCCACACCAACCCTTGGACATGGACAAAACACTGTAAATATGGTCAGGGCATATGACGTAGATGCAATGGTATTGGCCAAAGTTTGTGAGCTAACAGACGAAGGGGACTTGCGGATGAGTTGAGATGAGAGATGAAGGATGATGGGTAGCAGACACTTTGGCATTGCCGCTAACAGACGAAGGGGACTTGCGGATGAGTTGAGATGAGAGATGAAGGATGATGGGTAGCAGACACTTTGGCATTGCCGCAAGTTTGTAAGTTGACAGACGAAGAGGATTTGCACATGAGTCGAAATGAGAAATCGAACATGTGTAGGCGAAGCCGAGGTACGGTTTGCCTGTTGTGTTCGATACATTTGTGCCGGAACCCTCACAGAGATGTTGCACAGTCAATTGTCGAGGACAAGACTAAAATATTTGGACACATTGAGAGAACATCACGATCTCTATTTCACAGCAGATGTTTTTGGCGGGCATTTTTTGAAATCTTCAGAGATGTATGTGTGACATATTGTGGTCTCAACCTTGTGTATTCTGACACGTTATCTAGCTTCGCTTTTACACTGTGCCAACCTTGCTTATGATGTTAGTTGTCCAATTAACCGATGAAGAGAAAGATCACGAGGAGGAATGTCACAGACAATTCGTTCAGAACATAGAAGAGCAGATGCTATGTGCATGGGTGGCAAAGTCTTAATGGATCATCTGCGAAAGTCTGCGAACGTCTCCCAAAATCGTGAAACGCGCTGACTTTTGGTGATATCTGTTCAAAATGACTTGATCCCCCTTACATAAGCAGCAGGCGCGTTTTGTGTGTGTTTTTTCGGGGGGGGGGGGTGGGGGGTTGCATGTATATACATATATATATATATATATGCATTTGTTGTTTTAGTTCAGCTGTATTGTTTGCCCTTTGGCTTTGCATAATGTGCTTCATGGTGTGTGTGTTGTACAGCACATATGTGTACGACATATCGAATACAGTATATATATATATGTATATGACTGCGAGCCAAGAGAGAAGATATGGATCAAGGGTCGGAATCCCACGCGCGTTCCACACCTCGACGCACGCCTGCGATTTACACATGGGATCCACATCTTTTCAAGGTGCCGCTGCTCCTGCTGCTCCTGCTGCTCCTGCCACTGCCACTGCTACTGCTACTGCTACTGCCACTGCTACTGCTACTGCTACTGCTACTGCTACAACAGCTACTACTACTGCTACGACTACTGCCACTACTACGACAGCAGCAACAACAACAACGACAACAACAACAACCGCAACAACAGCAACAGCAACAGCAACAGCAACAGCGACACCAACAGCAACAGCAACAAACGGCAACAGCAACAGCAACAGCGACAGCAACAACAACAACAACAGCAACAACAACAACAACAGCAACAGTAACAGCAACAACGACAACAACAGCAACAGCAGCAACAGCGACAGCAACAACAGCAGCAGCAGCAACAGCAACAGCAACATCAACAGCAACAACAGCAGCAGCAACACCAACAACGACACCACCAACAGCAACAACATCCGCGGCAAACACGACAACCACAACAACAGCTTCAACAGCAACAACAGCAGCAGCAGCAACAACAGCAGCAGCAGCAACAACAACAGTAGTAGTAGTAGTCGTAGTAGTAGTAGTAGTAGAAGTAGTAGTAGTAGTAGTAGTAGTAGTAGTAGTAGTAGTAGTAGTAGTAGTAGTAGTAGTAGTAGTAGTAGTAGTAGTATTAGTAGTATTAGTAGTAGTAGTAGTAGTGGTAGTGGTAGTAGTAGTAGTAGTGGTGCTGGTAGCCATAGCAGTAGCATCAAGAGCAGCAAGAGTAGTAAGAGTATCAGTAGCAGTAGCAGTAGCAGTAGCAGTAGCAACATCACAAGGAGCGGTACTAGACGTCGTGTTGGTGGTCGTAGTAGTAGTACTACTAGTAGTAGTAGTAGTAGTAGTAGCAGTAGCAGTAGCAGTAGCGGAAGCAGTGTTAGTAGTGTAGCAGGTAGTAGTTAGTGTGCAGTAGTTAGTAGATGCTAACCCGTAGTAGGTATTATGTTGTAGGTGAGTGGGTGGTAGCAGTAGAAGGAGCAGTAGCAGTAGCAGCAACAGCAACATATACCAGTATTACTACTTCGGTTGCTGCTGCTGCCGTTGAGCTAGGCGCACGACAGCTTGCCACGATTGCCAGCAGTTTTGCCCCGACTCGACTTTGTAGCTGGGGCTGCCAAGGCTGCCAAAGTGTATTTTGGGCACCAGGCTTGTGCCAAACAATTGCGACTTTGCAGCTGGAGCTGCCAGTGCTTCGTGTGCTGGACTTGCACTGAACGCAGACTTTGTAGCTGGAGCTTCAAACGTGGCGCGGAGTATAGCAAATCGCTAACTTTCAGTACAAGTCTAGCAGAATAGCACCCAAAGTATATTTCTCAGCTTCACAACATGTTTTTGTCCAGCACGCGCTCAACAGATCCCTCCAAAAGGTTTGGGTCGAGGGGTTTGCTACGCACGTCCGTCGGAGCTGGCGCTCAAAAGGCATGCTGGAAAGCTTGGCTTTTGCTGGACCACGTGCATGTTGTAAAACATCTATTCCTTGGTCTTGCATCGCGTCTCGATTGTTGACATCCTTTGCGAAGTTGCACTTACAGTGCGAGCGCTGTGTAAGAAATCGGTTGGTCGAGGCCAAAGGGGGGCTGAATTTCTTAGCGTCAATTTCGTCTTTGAAAGAGCTGTTTTCTACCCCTCTGGAGCCAGGGGGGGCTGGATTTCTTAGCCAATTTCTTAACCTTGTCTTTTATTTCTTAGCAAGGGAGTCCTTCATCGCCCGAAAAGGCCGCCAATAAATCCAGCCCTGGATTTCTTAGCGAAGGAGCCTTTCAGCGGTGGCACACCTGCGCCTGAAACGAGGAATCATTGGTTCAGTTCTTGGCGTGCGGAGGTGGTTGTCTTCCTCGCGCAAGCAACAAGTTGGCTAACAAATTTGGCGAAAAATCCAGGGGAGCTCAATTTCTTGGCAGCAAATGCAGTTGCAACCTGCTTGATTTGGGAATCTCAGCCCCTCAATTTCTTATACAATGATTTCTTCTACAGTGCTTGCACTGTAGCTAGTTGTCATGGCATGCATTCCCCGGACAGAAATCCTTGCGGCAGGTCACAAAGTTTCTTGACTTTTTGGCAGGGCGACTTGATCCAGCCGCGCCGCCACGCTTACTCCGAGATCGCATTACGGTTTTACGCTGTTCGCGCAACCCTTCAGCCGCGTCTCAACTTCTTGTAGTTCTTGCAATCAGTGTTTGGCATCTATCATCGCCTGCTGAGTTCCTGAAGAAATGCAGAGCCTTCCACTACAAACACAGTGTATGAGATTGAATGAAGGCCAGCCATCAATCTTTCCGCATGTGTCCCAACAGCCAGACAGTTCAAAGGTATTTGAGGGCGTACTGCCAGTGAGAAGAGAGACTGTTGCAGACAGCCATATCGTCGCGGATTCATTGCGCATTCTGTCTTACCACGTCATGTAGCTTTGGATGTGTCCCACAAACACTGCAATGATGTGCCTTGCAGGGCAGCAGGAGTCAAGTACATTAAATGAGGTTTGACAGCCGCAGATTGGACGGTTCCTGTTGAAGATCTTGAAGACATGTAATTGGTGTTTTGCCTAGTCCGTGGTTGGACGCGTGACATGTTCATCTCAGCCCTTGCGAGCAGACTGATGCGAATGATGTTTGCCCGACTCACAATCTCCAACCTCCATTCTCGATGCCTGGCAGTGGCTCAATGTGAGCAAGTGGGACCCATAGAAAAACCGAGTGTCAAAGCAGCAAACAAAATCGGCGTTTCGGCCGCATATGCGCTTAGGCCACCTTGAAGGACGGCAGCAGTTCCGACACGGAGAAACACAGTGTAACTTCAGCTGCAGGAGTGGTGTGCGTTTAACAAACCCCAAAAATGCAAAGACGCGCCCTTGTAGAACTACCCAGATGTGAAACACATGAATACTGAACGGCATGCACATAGCATGTCATGGCCTGCCTGCAGACTTTGCAGTGCTTAACGCTTCTTGGTGCCGGAGTTTTCTCAGCACTCGTGCATGCACTCGGCCCTCGGTTCAGCGTTCATTCTCATCCTCATCGTTGTTGGGAAGATGGGCTCAGTTTCCATGGCTGTTGCAACAGCCGTTTCAACATAAAAGCCATACCAGCTGTGCTTCGGCACAGGCAGAGAATGGCTGGGGATCCTGATTGTTTCTCTACACTGCAGCAGTACTGGACTTGCTGTGCATTGAACGACAACCCCATCGGTATACTTTACGACGTGATGCTACTTCTCTATCGTGTTCCGCCCCAAGGTTCTACCAACAAGACGACTCACCTACTGGTCTTGCAAGGCCTTGCAATACGCCATGTTGCCAGCCTGCTGCAAAACAAAGAAGTTCAGCAAGTGCCGGGAGTAAAGGACTTCCTTACCGTGGCAGAGCCATTTCAACTTAGTCATGACACAGGAGCTGGCACTGTTTGGCCATTTTCAGTAGTAGCCGCGCAAGCCATCTCTGCAAACTTTGACTTTGGATTTCCCATTGATGGCACCAGAAGCTTCTTGGAGTTGGGCAGCGGTACCGGGCTGGTGTCAATGGTCGCCTTGTCCCTGGGCTTCGCTGTGCTTTCGACGGATCTGTGCCCCATCAGCATGCACCAGCGCCAGCTCAGCGTGGAGGCATCCTTCGGACCGACGTCCAGTCGGGCGAAGCGCTTCCGACAGCAGCAGCTGGACCTTTTCAACGCCTCCACCTGGCCAGCGCGGAGAGTGGATGTCACCTGCATGACGCGGCTGGCTGAGGATATGACCCAGTTCTGCGTGGGCTTCCGCCAGGTCCTGCGGGCGACCTTGAAGCCCATGGGCGTGGGCATCTATGCCGGCGGCGTTTTCGGTATGCGGAAAACTGAACGAGCCTGCGTGGAAAGTGATGAGGTGTTCCATGCACAAGCGCATTTGCCACTGGAAGATGGCTCTTGGATTGAAACTGACCTGGACTTTGACAACCATCTGGCCCTCAAGAAGCCAGTCTTTGTCACATTGCGTTGGAAGCACTAAAGCGAGCAGGCGAAATCAGCCGCACGCAAAGGCTGGAGCGACTATGCTTTGGTGTTCACAGGCTTGTGCTTGTTTGGCTTGCTAGGCAGTTGCTTGTTGCTACATAATCTGCAGGATGGTCTTTGTGCTTTGCACCAAGGCCAAGCCGTTCTCCCCAAGACGCTTTCGGATGCAGCGTGCAAAATGGTCTGAGTTTGCTACCGTGGTAAATGCAGGTGGGCAGACGGATCCTTGGGCCCAATGCGGGATGCAAAGCGCAAGGCGCAGGGAAGGAGATGGCCAGCTGCTTCAGCAACGCAGTCGCATGGTGCGAGAGTGTGGCTCTGTGGTTTGTCTTCATATTCCTTCAGCCATGGGTGCTGGTTTACGCTTCATGCTGCGCCTTTCCACCTTTTCGAGCATTGGCGAAAAAAGCAACTCGCGAGTCTCAGGGGAGTGAGGAAACCGACATTGCCATGTCAACAGCTGCACCGTTGAAGTGTCGCGAGTTGGGCGCGTCAGGCCGAGGCTTTCCCACGGGGCGCGCGGCCCGAGTGCGGGCCTTGTTCGCCGGGTAGAAGTCCAGGGAGCTTGCAGCGCATGCGGAATCGCAAGAAGGGATTAGCGACAGGGCAAGGGAGCAAGGAGTCAAACAGATCAAATGGGTGGGTCTTTTACATGGGATGACCATGAGGGAAAACCACCATGCTGAGTTTCCACGGGACAAGTTGCCCATGGCTGAACGGAATAGCCATTGTTTCTGACGTTAAGCTGGTGTCCTTCAAGTCCGAGGGCCATTCAGGGCTGAGCGCAGATTCCGCGGTTTCAGGATGGAAAGTAACGGATATGGGAAGAGCAAAGGCAAGGGCAAGCCGAAGGCAGGGGAGAGAGCTGAGATCCGTGAAGTTTGGCGTGGTCAACTATTAACGAGAGAACCCCACAGAAGCCCCTCAGCTTCCCCCGATACTCTGATGAGTCAGTGTGGTTGGCCCTCTATACAAGTTCGACATGAGGGAACTCTGACTGCCATCAGCTTGCGGCGCCAGGGGAAAGGCAAAGGGAAGGACATGAAAGGCTCGGGTCGAGCTCTGCAAATGTCCAACGTCAAAGCAAAACAATTATGGGTTTGCTTGTGAGAGGGTAGAGAAGAGGCATTACCACGGTATGTTTGACGCCCCTATAGTGGCAGCCGCAAGTTTGTTTTCTGCGCGCTGAATGTTCTTCCCCGGCCCTGCCCTGCCCTGTCCTTTCTCTTCAGCTGACCGCTCTCGCAAGCAGCATCCGTCATCAATCTAAGGAGCAACAAAGGAGGAACAGAAGTGGTGCACAGCCGTTTGACATTGCGCCCTCCCAATGCAAGTTTGAACTTGCAAGCAGTCATTGAGAGGAATGCGATGCTGGGGGGTTGCTCCTCTCGTGGACATGCTTTGGAATACCCTTCGCGCTGCCAGCAGACAAGTGTCGATCAAGACATTTTTTGTATAGCAGCATATAGCAGCATATAGCAGCATATAGCAGCATATAGCAGCCATTGCTGCTGCTGCACATCCCATAACTGCCAAATGACGCAGCAAATATTTTGTCGGGACTCCTTAGTTTAACTTTGGCACCTGACAAATAGTCATGTTTGCCGCAAGAGGCTAAGTGGGAGCCATCTGGAATCTCGAATTTGATGGGCAAAGCAAGGCTGTGGATAGCTTTATTTGTGCGAGCTTTGGTTTATCAGCCCCAAACGAAAATATTGGTTGAGTCTTCAGGGAGGTGCAGATGTTGGAAACACATGCCAGGCTTTGGCAAGATGGCACCGATGCGCCCTGGAGAATGTGAGCAATCCTGTGCAATTGTAACCTTGCAAGGCCTTTGGACGAGCCACACAGGGAGTTCTGAGGACGATTACCAGTATACAGTTGCCCGTTGGACGTGTTTGAAGGCACGGAGCAAAACGTATGTTGGGTACCTATGGCGCATTCTTTTGGTACAGTCTTGTGATTTGCGAACGTCATGCTAGTGATGCTAACTGGGTGTACAATCCAAGCAGAGCCAAGACTGAGAAGGTACTTGTGGGCTGTTGCAGGCTGTGACATGGGCTTGATCGCAAGGCGTCTTGTGTCTCGTTCATCAAACCTTCACTCACTGAGGTACGGCAAAGGAATGCCAATGATGCCAATGCCAATGCAGCCCGCGGCTTAATCCATTTCCGAGGGCCAACGCACATGGAGCATAGACAAATGGGAGAGCTTCGACATTGGGCTGGGCTCAGCAAGGAACGCCACCCTTCGTCTCATGCGTGACCATTAGAACAACAGACAAACATGCTCGGAATTTGGAGCAATCAGCATCTTGGAATTACCGTTTGTGATTTGAGCATCACATTGGCATACAAATGGTGTTTGGTCTGAGTACTTGCGTGTTGAGAATTACCGAACCTAGTTCGCTTGGGTTTGCAGCTACCGGGTATTATGCAGGTCTAGCCTTGTGTGGAACCCACGTGCGGCGAAAGTGCCGTATCTTTGTTTGCTTAACGTGTGTGTTTGCTTGCATGCGGCAAGGGCGCCGCTCCCAGTCTACACGGCCCCACCCTCCTTCCAGCCTGGCTCGGAGGAGCACAGCTTCGAGTCGCGGGCCGAAGCAGTCAGCCTTAATGTTGACCCCAGAGTAGACCCCAGCTGATTCATAGGGAGGTGTCGCTGGGTTTCACTTTTGGGGGGAACACTCCTTATCAATATACTGGGGTTTATCTATATGGGGTCAGCATGGTTCCGATGCCACATCACTCCGCATGCTCGAGACATGCGTCCTCAGGAGATGCAGCGACAAATGTACGGCGAGCAACTATACGTCTTGGCTGAGTTCTCAGAGACAGCACTGAATGTTGCCGGCCTGGCGTGCATGTGGAGCAGTGCTTGGCCAACGGAGGCAGTTCAGTTGGGCGAATGGGGCAAGATGTGGCGCCAACAATATGTGCTGCTTCTCTATCATCAGCAGCGCAGCTACATAATCTGAAAAGTTGGGTGTGTTTACTTCCACTTATTCTACTGTCGTCCAGGCAGGCCAAGTGAGCATGTGCTCAAAGGAGGAAAGGGGCTCGTGTGGCTGGTATCAGTCAATTCGCTCGCCAAAGCGTTGAATGCAGATTTATAGAGCGATCATGACGTGCATGTTCTTCAGTGCTATAAGAACTACTTGAATCAGCAGTTTCGTGTGGCATGGTGATGCGCAGCAGGATTCTATGGCATTTGTTGTGTTTTGCAACACAGCAACGGTTTGGCATGAATGCAACATGTTGCGCGTGTCTCGCGGGCTTGTTGTTCACCAGGGCATCTCGTTTCCTTTTGCCCATGCGTTGCGAAGTGCCAGCGGGCTTGATTCAACTCGTTTTTCAGCGACAGGCTGAAGATTAGGCAGCATGTCTGAGCAATTGATGGTGCCATGGAACTCCAAGACTGACCGCTGGTTTAGTTATTTGAATTACTATGATACGTGTTTCATTGAGGCGGTTACCACATGGATACAGACGGACTCCAGGTGCTTCCATTGGCTCCAAGCCCTTACCTCGCCCAGAAGATCACAGGCACGGTGAAGCCGTTTCGTTTCTCGAGCGCACGCGCCCGGTGGATTTATCACCTTTGCGTGTTTCCCTCATTGGGCCCCGTGCAACCGGACAATCTCAATGCTACGATCAAATTGCCTGCTAGCCAGTTGATGGCTTGGAGACGTTGTGCTTATAGGTTCTTTGACCAACGCATTTGCAATGAACGATTTCGGCTTACCACCTTTATTACGGCAGTCCCCTTGTCTGATAGGGAAGATCAAAGAAGCACTGGACATCACTAGCCTCCTGACGCACCGACAGCAACCCACTGGTCAGGTATGCTGCTCGAGCTGCCGGAGAATGTCACTCACTCAGCAACATGAGCGGTGGAGGGAAGTTGTGGAAGATAGCTGCAAAGAAAGATGTGGCTGTGGGTCAAAACCAATGGTACCATTTTGGGGTAGGTGCACCACCCATTTTAACCCATTTTGGTGGGGATTGGGATGTTCACTGGGGGTACTGGCTTTTGACCCATGGCCATGTAGATCTATAACTTGTCAAACACGATTAATGGACACATTTTTTGTTTGTTTGTGCGTTGCAAACCTGCAGATTAATTTCAGGAGGAATGCTGAAAAAGGTTCCCGATGGGAATTAATCATTTGTCGCGTTGCCCACTGGGTCCCCGCAGAAACCAGTGCCCTCTTCGAGACGTTAGGGCGCAAGTAGCTTCTCCTGCCTCCACACTTGATACATGACATACCTCCAGGTTTTTCACGCCATGCTCAAATCCTGGTTGTCTTGGGCACATATTGGGCTGGTTTTTTGGGAAAGGGGTGGTCCTTTCTCTTTTCGGTTTGCTCAATGCCTTCCGGGTTCGACTTCCACTTGCTTCAGAATATGCTTTACTTTCCCTGTTGGGTTTAAAGGGAATCGATTTCACTACTGGACGTATGTTCTTATGTTTTTGAGGGGACGACCGCTTGCTGGTGCTCAGCGGGGAATGAGGGAGTGACCCTTACAAACCGTTCCTTGTGGTTTCCTTTGAGGGGACTGGGTTCATTCCGTTTCCTCTTCCCTGCCTATCCCAGCAAGAAAAAAGCTAGATGCTTGACTGCTATTGGGTTGCATCTTTAGACTTTCACTTGTTGGTTGAAATCAACGGGTTTTCCACGCCCACCAAAAAGTTACAAACTTTTTGCAGAGGGATCCGCAGGCCAACGGGTGACGCGCCAAGGAGCTGATGATGAATCTGACGGATCGGGAGGAGCTGCAGCATCGGGTGGCGGAGGCGGCCTTGTGCGGTCGTTGGGTCGTGGCGCACGTAAGACTCATGGGACTCCTCCAATCATGGCAAGCTGACAGGAGGCTTTTGGAAGACCTTTCCTTTTTTGGAGGTGTTGGCAGACTTTTATTTTGGGTGGGGGGGGGGAACCTCTTTGTGAAATTTCATTGTTGGGCAGAGGGCAAAAGCTTTTGGAGAAGTTTCCAAAAATAGCTCCCTCTACGAGCCAGGGGTTTTCGACTTTATGTTCTTTAGTGACTTTAGTGACTTTAGTGTGCTTTATGGTGACTCAATATGGACCGGAGTCTGAACATCTCACCTCTGGTCGGCAAAAGTTGAGTTACTCAGGGGTGTCTTTGCAATATTGAACCTGATGTAACACGCCCCTGTAGGTTGTGAATGTCTTGACAACAGTGCAACTGTGTTTGGTGGATTATTTGCGGTCCTGTTGTTGAAGACCTTGCCAGTCCTCTCCGGTCGTTATCGTTTGGGCCAATTTGACTGCAATTGCCGTAATTGAAAAGCAACGGAGAGTGATTGGCTGTTGTGCAGGGCCTGGCCTTGATATGTCCGACTCGTCTATTTTTCCATTTGGCATCCGTTGGATCTGGCGGAATCTCGCCAGGCGTTGGAAGTCCTGAAGGCTGACGGCATCACTAGCTGAAGGCTCCATTGTGCGCACGGCAATCAGATCAGCATGGTTGAACATGAACAACGTGCCAAGCTTGCGCAAGCAGCTCGGCAACGAGCTAAGCTGGCCTCATACTTGTCACGTTGACTCTTGGATACTCGAAGGACACCTACACCAAGGGTGAGTGAGCGTGAGAGGCATGTGCACGCTGGAATCGGTTGGGACGCTTCGGACATCACACGGTAGTCTTCGCCAGAGAGTACTCCAGTGGACACAAAAAGGGTTGCTTTATTTGGACCGGAAACCCTTTGATTGGTAAATGGGAAATCAAAGGAAAGCCAAGCATAGCGGAGCCCCCATCCTCCAGTTTTGTTGGGAAGCTTTGTTTGCTTCAGCCCTCCAATCGATCCCTGAGGTGAAACGGATCCAATGCACGCAGGCCCCATCCAATGCAAGGCCTGCTCCACTTAAAGCCGAAAGATGGGCAAAACACCCGGACTTGTGTTTGCTGGGCTGACAAGCTATCCAAACATATGTTTTTTTTGCTGGTGATTGACAATACTATTGTACACATATATATATATATACAGATGGATGTACCTTCCTTTTCTTGAGCTTGCATCCTATGCGAAGTGGAGTCTTTGCATGGTTCTCCTTAGGTGCAGGGGTATCACTTTGGTACCAGAGCCATTTTGGGTTCCCGCTGATGCCACGCTTCTGCCACGTCGCAGAGTTTCTGAAGGTCCTCAGGATCAAACCATCTTGGGGACAGGAGCAAGCCCAACACATGGCGTTCCCAGAACCTCGTGAACACGGACAAATGTACTGAACATTTGTGGGCCACCGTTTTATCCATACTGTTACGGCGCCTCTTTTGGTGTTGGCCATGAGACCTGCCGTTTGGCAATTCACCCGCATGGACGACGGCGTGCTACGAGGTGGGCTTGCTGTGCCCAATGCAATTACATAGTGCGGTTGACTTATCCTGGAACGTCCTGGAACCTGTCCGTCTTTCATTGGCTCATTTCACGATTACGTGTTCTGTTTGGGGGACATATTTTGGAGTCTCACCTCTTGATGAATTCTCGCGGTCTTGTCAAGGCGTTACTATTGCAGTACCTGTGCTTGGCTGATTTGATAAATGCGGTGCCCCGGCGGGTGCGCAAAGCTCTAGCCAAGCGTGCACGAGTCGAAAAGCAGCGGCTCCTTGCTTGGAATGCTTGGTCTGTTTGCTTTGCTTGAGCACGTTTGTGTCCGAGGGGATCTAGCGTGAAGTATGGCGCCTGCAATTTTTGACTTGCGTGATTGCGGTGCAGTTTCTTCCAAATGAGTGTTTGCTTCCAGCGACTCGCCAACTCAAGTAAGTGACAAAGCAGCCCCCGCACTAATGCATTTGGCTGAGCCTGACGGGCAAGGCTCACATGTTCGCTCTCCTACCGCAATGTGTGCTCTATGCAATTGTTGGCGGAACATGCCTGTTGAGCAATACCACTATGACAGCTTTGGCACCACAACTCCCCAGCGGGGAGTGATTCCTTGCTCCATGGCCGGCTCAGTCATCCCTACCCAAATTCTGCTTGGGTTCGTATGGCCGCCTGTGCCGTAGCTGCATTTGGATCGCAGGTCATCGCAGTCTTCCCTGTGGAATACAGCCAGACTTGGGCACTGGCTTGATGACCAGCTTGACGCATGGATTTGGAAATCGGCAGAGATTCCAAGTTTATCCAAGAATTGCACTGGAATGTCTATCGGGACCAATCACTTGTAAGCTGAGAGAGCGTGCGCTCCAGACCTGACCATGCTTTCCAGACTTGAATCTTGGACCGTCGGCATGGGTTCTTGAGCCGAAGCTTGGGTCCATGCAGCGCTTTTTCGGAGGCGGGCGAGGGAAGTGGAGAGGGCAATGTATTGGGTTGACCAGCTGAGATACCCTTGAAGTTTGTGCGACACACCATGTAATAGCAGAATGCAAAACAAAGAGCCTTTGACTTGGGCTGTATGCACTCTGCTGGCCCTGCAGGTCCTCATAGGCACTGTCTTCCTAGCATGCCGAACAGGCCGTTCATACAATCAGATTGTGGCCAGGTTGCGTTGCAGTGCCCCGTGTCTGGCCAGCTTGTGCTATTCTTGTAGGGAGCCACGGCCATTGAAAGAAATCAGGTGCAATCGGGAGCTCATGTGTGTCAGAGTCAGCTGTCTTGGCTGATTGGGCCGGTACATCAAGCGAATCCCGATACGAGGGTGCGGAGTGAGGCGAACAGTTTGGGGCACTAAACTTTAAAGCCTCCGGCTCAGTCCGCCGACATTGTCCTCTCCCTTGTCTCCTGCTTCCTCTCTTTTTTTCTCCTTCCCCGTGTGTTCCCTCGTCCTCTCTCCCTCTCTGTCTCTCTCCTCCCCATCCACCCCATCCTCCCAATCCTCTCTCTCTCTCTCTTTTCTCTCTCTCTCTCCTTTTTCTCTCTGTCTCTCTCCTTCTCTCTCCTTCTCTCTCTGTCTCTCCTTCTCTCTCTCTCTCTCTCTCTGTCTCTCTCTGTCTCTCCTTCTCTCTCTCTCTCTCTGTCTTTGTGTCTCTTTCTCTCTCTCTCTCTCGCTCTTTCTCGCTCTCTCTCTCTCTCTCTTTCTCTCGCTCTCTCTCTCTCTCTCGCTCTCTCTCGCTCTTTCTCGCTCTCTCTCTCTCTCTCTCTCTGCTTCTCTGTCTCTTTCTGTCTCACTCTCTCCTTCCTCTCTACGTCTCTTTCACTGTCTCTCTCTCGCTCTCTTTTTCTTTCTCTCTCTCTCTCTCTCTCTCTTTTTTGTTCTCTCTCTCTCTCTCTCGCTGTCTCTCTCGCTCTCTCTCTCTCTCTCTCTCCCCCTCATCTCTATGTCTCTGTCTTTTTCTACCTCCTCGCTATGCCTCATTCTTCCCACCGTGTGTCTCCCCCCCCCCCGGTTGCTGCCTCTCTCTATGTCCTCTCCCTTTCCTCTCGGTCTCTCTCTCTCTCTCTCTTTCTCTTTTTCTCTCTCTCTCTCTGTCTCTCTTTCTGTCCATCTCTGTTTCTCTCTCCGTTTTTTGTGTCTCCTGCTCTGTCTCTTTCTCGATCTGGGTATTTTTCTCTGACTCTTTCTCTGTCTCTGTCTCTGTCTCTCTCTCTCTCTCTCTCGCTCTCTCTCTCTCTCTGTTTGCATTGCAGCGTCATGTCCCCCCTGAGCTGCCTCGATTTCCGTGCACTGCCCCTTTCATGACCCCTGAATTGTCTTCGTGCTACTGGCTTTCCCCTTGATTTCCCCTTCATGTCCTTTTCATGACTCGTCATTTTTCAAGGATGTCCTCGTCATGTCCCCTTCCATGCCTTTCAATTCCCCCTTCATGTCCCTGTCATTTTCTCGGTATGTCCGCTTCATTTTTCGTGTATGTCCCTTTCTTTCATTGCCAGTCATTTCCCTACATCTCCCTTCGTGTCCTTTAGTTTTCTTGTCCTTTGTTTGCCTTGCAGTCCCCCCTCACTCCCCCTGTTTTCATGTCTTTCCCCTGCATGTCCTTTTCAGTTCCCCTTCATGTCCCGTTCAGTTCCCCTGTTTCCCTTTCATTTCCCCTGCATGTCCTTGCATTTCCCTTTATTTCCTCCCCTCATTTCCCTGCACTTCCTTGCATTTTTTTTTTGCTCCCCGGTATTTTTCCGAGAAAAAAGTGATTTTCGGCAGAAGGAGGCAGAACGCCCGAACCAGCAAAGAGCTGGCAGGGGATTCGAGCCTGGGACCCCTGTTTTGCCAAGAAGACTGTTTTTAGTGGAACATCATCAGATTACCGCGCGGTACGAAGAGCCCCCTCTCTCCCCCCTTTCCCCTCCTTCCCCCTCCCCTCTCCCCACCCCCCTCCCCCCCCCCTCTCCCCCCCTCCCCTCGCCCACCCTCCCCTCCTCCTCTCCCCATTCCTTCCCCCCTTCCCCCCCACCATCCCCCCCCTCTCCCGTTATCCACTATCCTCTCTGAAGTATCTGACACACCTCCACAATGTCGGTGGATTTGCCGATTTATTCCGGACGGTTCGGGCAGCCCTGATCAGGAATTTGTTCTATCGACCCAAAGAAAAAGGGTGTGTTAAAATTAGGTTTGGACTTTTGAGCTCCAACTCCAATCTCCGACATCTGAAGTCGAGACGTTCAGTTGTCAGACATAGTTTGAGAACGTGGTAAGCCAGTGCTCAGCATCGTTTGAAGGAACGTAGCTAACCAATCGATGTACGCTGCGTTGCTCATATGTGTTGTTAAAACCCTCCTGGCCCCGTGCCTAAATTGGGAAGCAGTTCTGAGGTCCGTGTTTGTGTTGCTTACAAGGTTCCATTGATTGCCATTTGGCTCAAGTCACAAGTGAGGTTCAAGATCTTATGTGAAGCTGCGTTCATACGTGATCGGCAATTGAGAGCGGAAAACACTTCGCTTGCGCTGCATTTGTCAGGACCACTGTTGTAACTATTATTCCTTCTCCCTTACAACATTTGCACGGGTTCGGCTATAACGGTTTGACCGTATACACCTTTCTACGTGGTTGGTATTTACAGCTGGAGGGTTCGGTGGACAGCGTCCCACGGGACGTCACCTTGCCGTCTCTTGACAGGTTATCAGCCGTAACGACAAGCTCTACACTGGACAGAGAGACAGCTGGTTTATTGCGGGTACAGGGACAATAAAGGAACGATAACCTACACAGTACAATGGCGTCTTCGGCGAGCCCAAGTACTGCAACTTTTGGGAACAGCAGCTCAGAGGGATCCAATGGATTGATGGCTCTTCCTGCGGTGATGGATTTGGTCGCAGATTCACAGGATGAACCTGGGAGCGGAGGATCCGCGCTATTCAGTGACATATCCACGCCTACAAGATCGTGGAAGCAGATCGATGTTCGTCAGGAGTCGAAGCAAAGAGAATCCCCGCCGAGAAGATCATCATCTTCGCCTGCGACACCACGGACGTCGCAGAAGGGCGTGAGGTCAACATCAAAAGGTGGGAGGTCTAAATCACCCACCAGTGCAGAGTTTCGCGCCGCGATTAAAGAAA